CTAAGGATATGTTTAGTGCATCTAGTCATTTTTCACATTTGATAGGCTCATTCATGAAATCAAATGATTTTGATGTTTGTATGGTACCACTATTGCTTCTATGCTTAATTTGGTCTAGTGGTAGCATATGACATGTTTGTGGGCTTGTAAACCTAGTGTTTGATCTAGAAAATAAGGTATAAGTGTTTCACTCAACATGGTACAAGATAACCCTTATTTGAAGGTGTGAAGAAGTTTGTCCTTGGATCAAACCGAGTTAAATATCTTTGGCAAGTATTCTAGATTGAACAAAATTTGAGAAAATGATCCTCACCCCATTGATTGACATTGATAATCTCAACCTTCTACATTTTGAACCTTTGTGGTCATTGATGACAAAGGGGGAGAGATAGTGTACAAAGATAGTGAAAAGATAACAAAGGGGAGAAATTGACATAGGAGGAGAGATATGACAAAGGAAGGAGATCAATTAAAATTTTAAGCACACAAGTAGGGGGAGCAAGCTCATAAACTTAGTGGATGCATTTGAATGTGCATTTCATATATTTGCTTGCATGGCACAAGTTTTAATTTTCAATATCCATGCTTATGTGGTGTATGCTAGTTGTAGGTTTGAATGATGAAATGAAAAATTAGCATGAATAGGTTAAGTAACTAGACTCATGCTCATATTATGAAAACTAGACCCTTACTTCTAATGTTGATCTCACGGGGTATTCTAGTTTTTTTGTGGATGTCTAGTTACTCATGGTGCTAAAGATGGTATATTGGTGTACTCCGATTAGTATCACGCTTCAAAGGTCTATCTCTTATACCTTAGCATCATTTGGTAGACATTGACTCCTACATTTCCTATCTAAACATATGTGCAAGCTACTATCCAAACTCTTAGCACATATGTAGAGGGAGCAATTGCTACCATTTGGGGTTCATGAAACTTATCCATATCCTTTTACACATGGTAAATATGCTTGGGCAAGCAACATGGATTCAATTAAATTTCAATTCATATCTTTGTGTAAGGGTTGTCATTAATTACCAAAAAATGGGAGATTGAAATCTCTAGTTTGGTTTTGGTGAATTGATGAAACCCTAAGTGCTAACCTAGTTCATCTAGGTGATCATGAGATAGGTAGCATTATTCCAAGTGGTGAAGCAACGGTGAAGATCATGATGAGGTGACCGGACTCTGGCTTAGTGGAGTGACCGGACGCTGACAAGTTACTGTTCCGCGTCAGGTCAGAGTGATATAGCCCAAAGCAGGATAGCAGAGAGCAACCGGACGCGTCCGGTGTGAACCAGCAAGTCTCGGGTTTTCAGCGCAATGATTGATCGGATGCTGGGAGCATCCGGTCCGATGTGATCGGACGCGTCCGGTCAGCCCAGAGCGGCTCTAGGAGCTCTCTAGACTCGATCAAACGCTGCGTCTTCCGCGTCTAGTCCGGTGTGACCAGACGTGTCCGGTCGGCCCAGAGTGGCTCTGGGAGCTCTTTGGACTCGACCGGACGCTGCGTCTCCCACGTCCAGTAGTTTTCTAACAGCGCGTCCGATCACGTAGTATTAGCCGTTGGGCGTGAATGACTAAACAATTTGAAAGGGACACATGGCGGTCACCACACCGGACGCATCCGGTGCACACGACCTATGCATCCGGTCGTCCCACAGTCAGCCCAATAATTGAGCCAACGGCTCTATTATTTGGAGGTGTCTATAAATATTGTTTGGCCGGCTCAAGCTCACTATATTAGCTATTTGCATTGACATAGCAACCTTGTGAGCTTAGCTAAAGCCCTCCCACTCATCTCCATCATTGATTCATCATCTTTGTGAGATTGGGAGTGAATCCAAGTGCATTGCTTGAGTGTTTGCATCTAGAGGCACTTGGTGTTCGTGTTTCGCTGTGGGATTCTCTTGTTACTCTTGGTGGTTGCCGCCACCTAGACAGCTTGGAGCAGTGAGGATCATTGAGTGGAGGTTGGTGATTGTCTCCGGCTCCAATTGTGGTGATTATGAGGGGTTCTTGACCTTTCCTCGGCGCAGAGCCAAAAGATACTCTAGTAAATTGCTCGTGGCTTGTGTGATCCTCATCTTGTGTTGGTTGTGTGGCACCCTATTGAGAGTTTGGCGTGTGACGTCAATTAGCGCGTGAACCTCCAAGTGAGTGAATCGCCACAACAAGGACTAGCTTGCCGGCAAACAAGTGAACCTCGGTAAAAAATCTTTGTGTCATCATTTGATTCTGAGGTGATTGGTCTTCATTGGTATTCATTCTTGTGATTGATTGGTTCATTCCTCGACTCAGCGGTATAACTATCTTGCTCTCTCTCTCTTTTACATTACCGCAAAGTAGTTGTCAAGCTCTTTAGTGTAGCTAGTCGTGAGAGCTTGTTAGTTTGGTTAGTGTGGCTCTTTAGTTAGCCTTTAAGAGCACACTAACTTAGTGTAGTGACATAGCCATTGTGTGGATAGAGACTATATAACTAGAATTGTGGTCGGTGGCTTGCATTTTTAGTAGGCTAGCACAACACTCGCTTCGCCTTATATTTATCTAACCGGTTTGTTAAGTGTTGTTGTAGAAATTTCTTAATAGGCTATTCACCCCCCTCTAGCCATTAGGACCTTTCAACAACAAATGTGGACAATGGCACCAAGACCAAGGAAATTTGGGGACACTCCTCCCATATATGATGAGTTTCATCTCTCCCTTATCACTTGGTGCCAAGTTCTATTTTTCTATGCTTAGGAATTAAGGTTTCACATGAATAGAGATGTCTTGGCACTCAAAATTGTCTGAATGCTTATGGTTGTTTGGTTTGGTTCACCGAATGCTCAAATCCACTCGATTTCGGTGGTCATTGTTGGTAACAAAAATGGAAAGATGTTCCATTTAGGCATACTACACATCTAGCCTTACCTTTGGATTGGTCTAACAATAAAAAGAGAGCCACGTACAATCATTGATGATAACAAAAATAATTGCTCTTAGTGTGGTGCTACTTTGGGAACTTGTCCCACATTTTGATCTTCTCTTCCCATAGTTTTTTATGTCTTCCATCAAAGACTCCAAAAAATACATCCATATCGACACTATATAAGATTGTGTAGATCTAGATATAAGAATGGTTAGCAAAAGGTACTTTCGGTTTTGACACAACTATGAAGGAAGGTTGTAGATGGTCAGTATTACTAACCATATGTTGTGCTTGCTTCTCCTATCGTGAAAAGGATTCATCCTATTAGCACTCAAAGTGAACATTACATTCGTCGATTCTTTAGCAAATTCTGAGTATGTGTCATTTAAAATTTTCCACTGCTGGACATTGGCTGGATGTCGAAGCTTTCCATTATCTTTCTTGCACTCATCAGAAGCATGCCAACACATAAGTTCGTCATCCTTAGGGCATGTGAACAAAAACCTCAAGTAATCAATCATGGGGAGGTACCACATCACCAAAGCATGAATCCATCTCTGTGCGTAAGAGACAACTTCTTCTTTGGGGTAAGTGTGTTTTGAACTCTCCTTGTTCTTTCGTTTCACCCGTTTTAATTTGAAACATAGGCTCCGTTCTCTTCCTCCTGACAATCTTTATTAGTCTTGTACCTACTAGCACTGTAATTTGGGCAACTCTATAAGTCTTCATAATCCTTAATGTAGTATATGATACAATCATTCCTACACGCGTGAATTTTTTTGAACACCCATAGTCAGTGGAATAATAAGCTTCTTCGCATGGTAGGTATTAGCACACATTTTGTTCTCCTCTAGAAGGAGATTTGCTAGAAGACACAATAACTTGTTGAGGGTAGCATTAGACCAACCGCATTGAGCTTTCAGCATCAATAACTGAAGAACAAATCACAATATTGCGTACTCTTTGATACAACACTTAGACTCTTCATACAAAGGCTCTTTCGCTATAGTCCTCAAGGCCTCCATACCTTTCACAAGGAATATTGTGGGCTCTGAACAGTGCTTCAGTAATGCCGTGAAGAATTCCACTTGTTCGTTCTCATCGACATGGTAATCATCCTCTACGTCACCACCTTTGCCGCTAATGAAATCATCAGCGACATTCAACATAATATGATCTATTTGTGGACAGTAATGTTGTCCCTTGGAAGCCATATTTGGTTTCTCGGAATCCATATTTGGTCCCTCGATAGTGTGCTGATTGGGTTGCCAAATGCATAAGATGTAGAATTGCCCTTCCCATGTTTGGTCCAAATCAATAAAACACTGTATGCAACCTTGACAAAACCAAATGACAAATGATATGTTCCGTGTCAGCAAATATAACAACATTATTGCAGTCTATGCACGAACATTATATGTGCTTCATCTTCTCTCCGCATGCATGCCTCTTCGCGGCATCAATAAACCTATGACCTAGCAACCTCTAATTGCTATGATGGTCTTGAAAAATTATACATCCACAATCCTTCCATCTTAAACTACAAAACAAAATCCACTAATAATAATTAACTAATTCAAATCAGAAAATGACATTAACATATAGATATGACTAAATGATTAAATTGTTCAAATGATTAAAATAAGAAAGAGACATGCACATTTCCTAAAAAAATACTTGCTCAATTGTCCCAAATAACATTCTGTACAAATAAAACATTGCAATCACTAACACATAATATGTTATTTATGAAAAATATTCTAGGACCAGCAATTTTTATTTTTGTTAGAATTTATGGAATGTGGAATCTATTAAAATTTGAGAAAATTCCTTATTTGACACAAGACAAATGACCTGTTCCTTTCTTGGCCCTCAAAAAAATTTTGTTCCCTATTTGACAACGAGTTCAACTTTCATTCCTTAAATGATACGCCGTTGCCTTTTCCATCCGGTCACCGTTAACTGCGCTGTGAAAAGACAATTTTGCCCCTGTGGGCCCTACCACCCTTCTCCCTCCTCTCCTACTCCAGGCCACCGCGTCCTCCCCCAGCCCGCGGCCACCGCCTCCGCGTATGCGTGGCCGCCTCCCTACGGCGCCCACCCGCGGAGGGGAACCCCGTCGTCATCGGTGGGTGCCTTCTCGGATTGCCCATGGAGGAACTCGAGCATGGCGGGCGCGTGCGTGAGCAGCTCGCGCGTGAACCGGCACCGCGCGGCAGCGTCGACCCCCGTGTCGCCGCCCTGGTCCTGCGCAACCTCCTCAGGGAGCACGGTGAGCAGCTCCAGCATGGCGGGGGGCGGTAGGTGCGGCATCCGTGAGAAGAGGCTATCGACGCCGCCCTCGGCGTGGAGCGCGAGCTCGGCGAGTGCCAGGCAGATCTGCGTGAGCAGCTGGCATGGGGTCGGGGCGGCGTAGAACCGCCGCGCGGCTAGGAGCAGCGCGTCGAGGAGCTGCGGCGCCAGGCCGAGCCCGGGGAGCGCGGGGCTGGGGGACTGGATCTTCCGGCGGAGCATCTGTGCGGCGAAGAAGAGGAGGTCGGCGGGCGGGGGCGGGTCCGGGGGGCCAGGAGGGTGGTAGCGACCGCCCACTCCTATGGAGACCGCTGCAGCGCGGGGAGCCACTGGTTGGCGGCGAGGCGCGCCGAGGGGCTCGTGTCGTGGTTGAGCGCGTACACGGCGGCCTTCTCCTCAGGCGGTGCGGCCGCGCGTACGCGGAGGCGGTGGCCGCGGGCTGGGGGAGGACGCGGCGGCCTAGAGAAGGAGAGGAGGGAGAAGGTTGGTGGGGCCCACAGGGGCAAAATCGTCTTTTCACAGCGCAGTTAACGGTGACCGGATGGAAAAGGCAACGGAGTGTCATTTAAGGAATGAAAGTTAAACTCGGTGTCAAATAGGGAATTTTTTTTTTGAGAGTCAAGAAAGGAACGGGTCATTTGTCTGGTGTCAATAAGGAATTCTCTCTTAAAATTTTTAGCACATCTCGTGAGAAACATGGAGAGTTTGTTAAAGAGACAAGGTGGGATGTGATTGACCTATCTTAGTTTTCAAGGATAGGATGGTTCCATCTTGTGTGGTTAAAGAGGACAGGATCATCCATGTCACTTGTTTGGTTCGACGATATAAAAAAATTAAGATCAAATATAGAGACATTGTGCCCATTTGTGATTTTTTGTTTTTTCTTCCTTCTCCTTATCCTTTAGTCCCCAACCCCCATGCACTACTGCACACACGCGTCTCCCTCACCCCGCAACTCCACGCTCATGACCCGCACCTTCATGTTGTGCCTAGTGTCACCGCGCTGATGCCCAGTAGATCCACGACCGGTGCCTTTGCTGCCTGCATGCGAGCTAGACAAGCGCCACTGGTCCTCCTTCTCTCCTCTACTGGCGAGCTTGGCCGCACGCCACTCCTCTTCTTCCTCTCCTCCGCCAGTGACCTCAGCCGCACGCCACTCCTGCTCCGCCAACGAGCATGGCCACGGTCACACGGACTCACCCCTGCCCTCAGAGCACGCCCTGTCCTGCACTTGCGCGCAGCCTTCTTCCTCAATACCAGCGCCACCTAGCCCACACGTGTACATTGCTTGTCCCACCTCGGATGGCCTCGCCCGTGAAGATTTTTAGGACAAGCTGAACCTGTATCTAGAGGGTGTATTCCGTAATCCGATGGTTTCTCGTCTCTAATTGTGTCTGAATCAAACACCATATATGTCTCTCTTGAAACCAAACACTTACCTTAAGATAGCTCCTCTATACTAAAGCACATCCAAACATCTTTTTCGCACGTAACATCTTATCCACGTTTCAAAGGACCAGGTGTCAATGTTAGATAGCCTAAGCACCCCATGCCCCGACGGTCCGACTTGTGCAGAACGCTCCGTCACGAGTCACGAGTCACGACATTATACGTTATACCGAGCTCTGCGAACCCCACTATTATCATTATCAGTTAACACGCAAACGAATAGAAGTCGTTACGGAAAAGTTGCACCTTTTTTTTTTAGCTTTTTCCCCACGTATAACGGGCAGAGGTCTCGTACAGCTGAATGCCAGCAATGGCGTTTCGAGACGCGCCCGGCCGGCGATGTAACAGCTGATCGAGGTACTCTGCAACGAGTGTACCACGCCATCTACGTCCAGTCAACTTACGCTCACATCACAATCAAACATATACGGGATCATGGCCAGTACTAGTACGGTACTATTTGGCTAAGTTCCTGTTTAGTTTCTAAAAAATTTCAATCTAAAGTGTCACATCGAATCTTACGGCACATGCATGGAGTACTAAATGTAGACGAAAAACAAAACTAATTGCACAGTTGGGTGAGAAATCGCGAGACGAAACTTTCAAACATAATTAGTCCATAATTAGACACTAATTGCCAAATACAAACGAAAATACTACGGTAGCCGAAACCAAAAAAATTTCGCCACTTAAACGCGCCCTAACCAGCGAATTGCAGTGCGACACCGTCAGCTGCAGCCTGCAGGGCTGGCTTTGTCTAGGACCGCGTGAGTTTTGCTCCCAATTAAAAAAAAGGGGGACGTTTTTTTCCTTCCAGGCACCTTATTTAACGGTTCCTTATATTTAAAATTTTTATGCAAACTATAAAATAAATAAATTATTATCAAAGTATCTCTTATGATAAAATAAAGTGATAACAAAATATATAATATTTATGCAAAAGTTTTAAATAAGATGAACGATCAAACAAGATGTCTGAAAATCAAAAACATCAATTATTTTAGGACGAAATAAGTACTGTTTTAGCGGAGCCGTCAATCTTCAATGAACTCTCCTTTCTCCTCATCAAGACCACTTACGAACATACTACTAACTTCCTCCGAAAGAAAGTTAAATAATGTCTTAAACATCAACCTATTCTTCCAAACACAACTCGTAACCATAAATTTTGTTGTTATATTAATATATAACTTAGCAAAATATAGTTTTGTGGAACTAATTCTTATGGCGGATATACTTGTACCATTTTCAAATACCGAAATTCAATAACTACATGCAACCCAAAACGTCAATGCATATATTATCATCTGCTCTCATTGCTAATATCCAAAATCATTAGTATGCATATAGCAATGGCAAGAGGGTAAAGTGCCATGACGCATTTCACTTATGCATGAGGTGATTTGAGCGTTCAGTGATCTACACACTTTCTTGCAGCTTCGCTGAAAAAACAAGCCGAAATACTGTTCTGGCTAATTTGTTGCGAGAGAAAAACACTATTTTGATTAAAAAAATAAGCTGAAAAATATAGATTATAAGAGAAGCCTATCTATCTACTGTACTCCGTATGTCTATCTATCTATCTTATTCCCGGATGGCCGATCAATCTACTCGCGAGCTATCTAACGTTATGGGCTTATGAGTTATGATCATGCTTCGCCTTATGTGGCAAAGTCAGATGGTGACCTTTTTCGCTATTGTTGCAAACCGCCAAGCGCAATATCAATGAGCCGTGGACAGGTGTTCCGATACCCAAGGGCGCTCGCTGTCCATCAGGCCTTGTAGGCCCAGCGCCACATGACCCGACTGCGACTGGGGCGGCCGTGTCAGTCCACTTGTGTGCCATCCTATTTGTCGGCAGCTCCAGACAGTGGCGAAGGTACACTATTCATAGGTGGTGCAAATGCACCACCCAAATTTTGAAAAAACAGTAGTTTTTGCTTAAATTTCACCATATTTGTACCCTCCCTGATATAAACATATACACCCACAAGGCAAGTGCACCACCCTTTAATTTGCTCTAGCTTCGCCACTGGCTTCAGATGACGGTAAATTTATCTACAGCGACTCGGCTGTTATTTTGACAGTTCTGTCTACAGTCTACGTCGACCTCACACGGTTTTAGAGTCAAGTATATGAGTACCTCGTATATGCATGATTGCACAGACGTGCAATGCTGGCCTTTCGCTTGATTAGCTGGGGTTCCATGACTTCTTACGGCAGATGTCCAGGCTACCTACCAGCAAGGTGTTGAGCGGTGGCCGCACCTAGCTCACTAGCTGCAGTGGCCAGTCACTGTTGCCTCTTGCTTTCTCCCTCTGATTGCCTTGTTGGTTTGAAGCGACCCTTGCTGGATGCATGTCCTCGTTTCATTGAACTCGGTAGACGCGTTGTCGGCCTTCCAACTACCCTGGCAACCAAGTCACGATAGTCCTCCATGAGAGAAAAACGTCACCATGAAGGCTTCTTTAATTTTCATCTCTTTTCCCCTGAAGAAGCTGGGAGATTGTAACCATGTGAATGGATTTACATCTGAAAAAGTGCCAGAGACAATTGCTATAGACCATATGTAAATTTACACCCTTGCTTGGTAATGTAATATATATGCCATATAAATTTTCCTCAAGAACTGGGAAGGAGATATTTCGTCCCTAGCACTATGCCAGAAAAGCTTATCGGTGACACCTTGCTTAGTGACCAAAAATTAAAACGCGTCACTAACATCGGATCAGTGACGCGGGTACACAAAACGCGTCACTAGTCAGGTGCCGCCCATGGTCTGGAGACAAAAACGCGTCACTGATGACGAGTTACCAGCGACGATTCTTAAGAATACGCGTCACTCATAGCCGTAGCTGTTATCATAGACTCGTTGGGACAAAACGCGTCACTCAAGGTCTCGGACCCGAAAAAATTATCAAATACGCTTTACTGAAAAGTGAAGTCCGGACTCCGCTCCCCACCCTCCTGTACAGACTCCACTCGGACGGCACCTCACTTCATCACGCGTTCCTGCCCCCTCTCTTTCTGTTGCCTCCGTCCTGACGCCAATCCGCCGCCCGCCGCCCGCTGGTCGCCCCTTCTCCTCCGTCGGCTACCGCCACCCCTCACGTCTCTTCCTCCACCTCCACCAGTCCTCTTCCCCCGCCGCCATCTCTCTCTTTCTCCTACAGATCTGGATGGAGCCTCCGCCTCTCTTCTGCACAGGCAGGGGTTGCTCCAGGCGCTGCAGGCGGTGGTGGCTCCGGGTCAGTCGGGGTTCCCTGGGCAGCAAGCATGTGGCCCCAGCTCGTATCGGTGACGGCGTGCAACCTCTTCAGTCCCGACGCCCTACAGCGACGGCGCGTGGGCTCCCGTGCACCGGCGTCGGTGAGAACCCTCCCACTCCTCTCCCCTTCCCCGCAGCACCTTCTGCTCAAGCAGGGTCTCCCAGACCACTGACGCGGAGTACTTTCTTCGAGCCATATTGTGTCTTCAGCGCACGCTTAGCAGGTGTTCGACGCAATGCCAGCAAGACCACCTGACTTGAGGTTTCGCAAATTTTTCTAAAACTAATATTTGTTTGTACTGCAATCTCTATGCTAGGTTATATTCAGATTTGTTTGAAACTTATGTGACAATATGCTAGGTAATAAGTTTATTGCTTTACCCAATCACTAATTTGTGGTAATTACGTGACACATGTGAGTTGGAATGATGTAGTTGTTACATTGTAACTTGTGCAAAATTAGTAAGTGATGTTTAACTATCTAGAAAATTAGGTAAGACAGTTT